AAGGAATACTCTAACCCATTTTCAGCCATTTCGACCAATTCGTGTTCAGGGACTTATGTAAAGCACTTTGCTTTCAGAAGTCTAAACCTGTTAAGGTATTGGTCTATTGACTTAGTGCTCTTTCATTTAACACTAGACAGTTTTGTTAGGATTATTTTAGACTACCCCATGTGAAATTGTTCATGGAATAATTTCTCTAACTGAATCCATGTTTAGGCCGACTGTGGGGGAAGCGTTATAAACCAAGTAAACAAATTCTTTGTGAGGAAATTGGGAAAATACTTCATCCTCAAATCTTCATTCACTACTAGGTCACCAAGTTCTGTTTGATACCTGACAACGTGTTTGATAGTGGATTCTTTGACATCCCCTGCGAACTTGGTGAATTTTGGGAGTTTCCAACCTCTTGGTAACTTTGTTTGTAAAATAAAATCTGCAAATGGCGATACATACATAGTTCCCTGACAGCCAATATTCATTCCATTCCTAACCATAATTCTTTCGACAATGGCTTCTAGGTTTTGTTCCCCTGCCACTGCTTCTCGTCGAACCTGCCTGACCATTTGGTCGACATTCTAGTTTCAATTTGCTATTACTACTGGGGGTTATTGTATTATCCTAAGTATAGGATTGACACACTTGGGATTTTGTGCTTCTTGTTCGATTTCTTCATCGGGCACCTCCTCGTACTGCATCGGTTCCTCACATGGGGGAGGTGCAGCTTGTCGAACTGGCACTCTTGGGGCACCAAGGAAATCCCCTATGTGAGTCATTTGAGTTGCTGAAGTCTAATAACTCTGCACCGAATTCTCAATCAAAGGTCTTAATATCAGACTCATATGCTGAGTAAGCATATTGACCATCTCATGATTACTTTCATTTATTTGTTGCCTTATGATGGCAACAGTACTTGGGGTGAAAGTAGTCATGACTTGGTGGGAAAACCCCAATCCAGTCGAACGACCAAATTGATTTCTCAATGGCCTTGAAGCATGATATGGGGAAATGTTGGTGCAGAATTTTCACCAAATGACTGACTACTATTATGTAGTCTTGCCATTATCATTGTTGACATTTTGTATTCATGCGTATTTCTTGCAAAACTAGGCACATACTGGCCAAAAGTTGGGATCACACTATCGTGTGTCTCTCTTGAAAAACTAGGCACATATTTCCCAGAAGTTGTGACCATTATTGATCTTGCAGTTACTGACTGTGTTATGGTAACTATGTTTGGTGTCGTCGAAGATACGACCATCAGACTAAAACCCACACTTGTCACCATCCTGGTATTTCCTCCCAGATTTTGATCCCTTTCAGGAGTTCTAGGATCTACTATTTTCTACACTTCTCAGTTTCATGCACGAAATGAGAAGACTCAAGCACAACGTGTCCCATCGGGTGTATCAATTTGTTTCTCCGCGAAACAATTACTAGCCTCTTATTATAGGTTACTTGCAGGATCGGCTAGAATACTCCAAGACTTAGTATTTTGAGTGTTTTTTGGGTTGAAACTGGTTGATGTTGGATAAAAAGGGCAAAAGTAGAAGACAATTGTAAAGTAAAGGAAATAAATTACGAGACTTGTAATTTAAATGTTAAAACTGGAAATTGCTATGAATTTAAATGTGGAAGCATTCATACATTGTTAAGCCTGAACTCGTTTCTCTCTTAGATGCGGATACTTTGAGTGTAATGCTCTAAATATGAAGAAATATCACCCCTCACACAAATACAAGCATTTGCTTAAATAGAAAATCTAAAAGTGTAATCATCGACAATTATTAGTCCCACGTTGGGGCTTTGTGGAGAACTTCCCTAAACTGCTTTGAACCTCCCCACGTTCTTACTGGCTTGCGTATTAATAACCGTTCCCGCCACCATATATCCTTGCTTGTCGACCTCTCTGCATGTCGATGGCTTCCTCTGAATCCCATGTCCTCGTCGACTAGCTCTTCTGGTCGAAAATGTTTAACTCGATCAACACATCCTATTGTTTCCTACAAACTCATTCCTTTTTAACCAAAGAAATCTTACAGTTTAAAGGCTTATTTCCCTAGTCTAAAATTTCTTGTTAACACCTGTACACCATACACAACCTCATACTACCATCTATCTTCTTAACCAACAACACTGGAGCACCCTATGGAAAAGTACTTGGTCGGACAAACTTATTCTCAAGTAATTCTTCTAATTGTTTCTTTAATTCTGACATCCTATAAGGAGCCACCGACACCGGACTTGTACCTGGTATCAACTCTACAGAAAACTCCACATCACGCTCTGAAGGAAAATTACTAATGTCATCTAGAAACACCTCTAGGAATTCACAGACAATAGGTACTTCAACACTCGCAGCTTCACGATCAACTCACGATGATGCAAACATTGCAAACATCAATGCTTCATCTTCTAAAAGTTCTTCCACTTGCTTAGAAGACAAGAACACCAGCTCTCAACTATCACCGAACTTAGGGAACCTCACCGTCTTACTATAACAGTTAATATGAACATAATTAAAATCCAACCAGTTCATTCCAAAGATAACATCAATTTGGTGCAAAGGTAGACACACCAAATCCATCACAAAACTCTTACCAAAGATAGTTAAAGGACAACTTGAACAGACAAAAGTAGTAGTAACAGAACCTTTATCAGGAGTATATATCACCATACTACCATTCGTAAAAGATAATTTCAATTCCAACATCATGGCACATTCAAGCAAAATACATGAATGAGTAGCACCAGTATCAATAATAGCAATCAACTCAATATTTTTATTAAAACAAGTACCTCGAATCATGTTATCCTTATTAGGAACCTCTAAACCACTCAAAGCAAACACTTTGCCATTGGTCTGAGCAGCAGTAGCAGTCTTCTTAAGCTTCTGATACTGGGTACTAATATGATCCTGCTCACCACTATTAAAATAATTTGGACCTTCATTCTTGTACTCAAAAGCATGATGACCCGTCTTATCACATTTGTAACATCTCAACACCTTATTGTCACAACTATCAGTACGGTGGCCTTGTTCGGCACACTTAAAACACTTGGCTTCTTCCCATCAGAAACTTTATGTTTTCTTTTGTCAGTAGGAGCACTATACGACTTACCACGATTCTGGTTCTTCCATTTCTTCTCATTATAACTCTTATAGAAAGAAGATTTGGCTCTGGTATCCTGATCATAGATTATGCACTTATTCACTAGTATAGGAAACTGGTGAATCTCCTGATATCTAATTCCATACTTAATCTCGGGACGCAATCCATTCTCAAATTTGATATACTTAGATGCCTCAGCTGCCAGATTATTATAATGCATACAGAACTTCGTTGATGGGGTATTTCGCAAGTGTATGAAAAGTATCATGGTAACATAAAGAGTGTCGAACCCACAGAACCTAATAGTCAAATCTTCAAGGATATTATCCAACTGTACTGTCATAATGTTTTGTTGCAACATGTTATTACATCTGATAGAACATCTATCAAATAAGTACCAGCAGACTCTGATGTACCAGCTAGTCAAGATGTTATGACAACTTGTTCAACATTAGACTGCAATACATGTTTTTCTCAACGAAACATGTTTTGATAAAATTGTTGTCAACTATTTGTTTTACCAAAATTATTACCAACCATAAAATCATAGACCTAACAGTCTCCCCCTTTCAAGAATTCTCTCTGGAGCCTTAACTTAGAGAATACTCAAAAGCCTTCCATAACATCCTCTGAAATCCTCATGATTAGATACCAAAGACCCTAGCTTTCTCAACTCTCGTAACTCTGGACTCTTGAAATCATACTTCTTAGTGTTCCTCTTTTCAATATCCATGATCACAAATCCTATTATATTTGCAATGAGATAGAGATAAGAGGATTCAGAAGAATTCTAGAGAGGGTTTTTTCACTGTTGGGAGTGTGTGTCATGTTTAGTTTGTTAACTCCTCGATGTCTCCTATAATTGAGAACTTGATTATTCCCTTCATCTAGATTAACTAGCAACTTTTACAAGATAAATTCCCTTTTAGAGAGACTCTGGATAAAATGGGGAGGGGTAATTGGTGATCCTATAGAGATTTTTTGTCCTTCTTGTGGGAATTTGGTTGAGTCAATCTCCCATCTTTTTGTGACTTGTGAGTTAGTTTTATCAGTGTGGTATATAATTTCCCAATATTTGGATTGGCAGGTGGTTCTTTCTAGTGACCATATACTTCTTTTTTATTCTTTCCTTTCTTTTAGGTGATAGGACCAAATTTAAGGGTGGTTTTATCATTATCTACCATGTTATAATCTGGACCATTTGAATAGTCTGTAATGATGTTGAATTTAACGGTGTTACAAAACAGCGAAAGAGATTGAGGGGAAAGTATCTTTTTAGCTTTGAAATGGTTTCTAGGTAGAACAAGAATGAAGTCATGTACATACTTTAATTGACTTCATAATCGTATCTTCTTCATTAACCTATAATGGACCGATCGTTGATCTTGGTTTTGAAGTAGGGTATGATATATGGCTTTTATTGTTGTTTAATTTGGTGGATTCAAATATGTTGACGGTGGTTCTAGCAATAAGAGATTTAACCAGAATCTTAAAAGATCCGTTTTCAACTATTTGGACGCTTTACTTGCCTTTTTGTTGATTATTTATTTATGCCTTTATTATCCTCTTGCCATTTTCTTGTGCTTTGAGATTGTTTCTACTTTTTAGAGGTTTTCTTCTATTATATTAATATAGTCTACCATAAAAATAAAAAATCAACTCTCATGTTTCATATTTCATAAGTATTCTAATTGGTGTTTTTTTATATAAAAAACATATGTATTTGAATTTAAAAAGGCTGTGTTATTCAAAATGGCCCCACCAAAATAAAACATCTAAATTCATCAAAACTAAAATTAGAACAAAAATACAAAACTAACAATACATGCTATGCTATAGTGATGAATTATAAAAAAAAAAAAAAAAAAAAGAACACCAAATATCCTCCCATTAACCCAGTTGCTTAGTTGGTGTCTTTCTCTTGCACAAACTTTTGAACCACTTGACACAGTTTGATGCAGTTTCTTTGACTTTGCTTAAACCACCCTTACCACCTGAATTCTTAACCTTTGCATCATTTTGAGTTTTTGTGTTGTCATCTTCCATTGCACCAAAACCACCAGCGCCCCATTGATCAGCCCAACTTGGTGCCTCACTTGCCATTTCTTCTAGACCCTAGTAAACCATATAATGAAATAATACTAGTTACAATCTCAATCTTATGACCAAATATGATGAAAATAAATTACAAAATTGCTTATATACATGAATATAAATAGTACCTTAATTAGATGTAGAAAATTAGAGAAGCTTGATGGAGGTGTCGAAAATGGACAGAAAGAGTAGTAAACTGAATTATAGCTATATAGGGAGATATATGTATATATATTATATATGTTAGATGGACTCTCAATTTTAGATTGCTTTTTCTTTTTCTAATTTATATCTTTTTCTTTTTCAAGACTTGACAACTCACCTTATGCTTTGAGTATTTCCTTCCTGTTAAGCAAACTATGTGCGACATCTTTACATGCTTAATTCAATTTTAAATAATCATATACTTATCATATAATATAATAGTGGGTTTATACTTTGGTTACCAATGTGACTTATATATATATATATATATATATATATATATATATATATATATATATATATATATATATATATATATATATATATATATATATATATATATATATATATATATATATATGCTCAACTAAGATATTATATGATAGCAATATAATTTCGATAGAATGTGTGTACGGTGTCTAACACAAATATTAATATCAAGATTGTTAAAACCACGATTTAAAAAGTTAAATTTTATAGATTTTATATTTTTAGGTTAGTATTTTTTTGTTAAATCGTAGGTAGAAACCTTTTTAAATAAAATCTTATTCTTGAATGATTTTAAATGATTTAAATCATTCTGAAAGCGGTGAAATCGTGTAAAAACGTGCAAGATCATTGGATTTTACTCTTTGACCTGATTTTACATTTTTTTTGTCAAACTTTAAAAGTCACATTTTATATTTTGACCCATGAAAACTTCTCTTTGACTTTTTAGTTTTATTCACATTCATGACTTGCTTATAATATTGAAAAATCTTTATCATTTGAAGATGAATCTATTTAATTCGAATATGAATACCCTAATGAAGATGATGTTGTAAAAAGATTTTACTTTTAATTAAGTTGAAGATGAAGATGAAAACACTTTTTTTTTAATTTGAAAATTTTATGAAACTATTGTTTTATTAGATAATCTTTTAGATGTTATTTTTTATGAATTTGTGAGTAACTTTGATAGTTTGATACAAGTTTGTGAATATTACACTTTATTATGGTGATATAGTATATTTTTATTTATAATTAAGTTAAAAAATTTAATTAGTAATGCATTTATAATATTATATAAATATACATGTCGTGTACATAAATTTATAATTATTTTAATATGAGGTAAATTCTAAGATTTTTTATGTTATGATTTTATCTAAGTAAAACGAGTTAAGATAAAAATTTAATTTTAACAATCTTAATTGATATGTGTGATTATATTTAAGTTAGTTATTTTACAAATTATTATATGTGATGATGGGTCAATGTTATATTTGTTAGTTGGTTAATTCTTGTTATGTAGTTATTTGGACTTTTATCATGTGTATTTGGGTTTGAGCATTTTGACTATATAAAGGGCCATTATGTTTGTAATCACATAGCTGTAATAATAATTCATTCAGTTAGAAAGTTAGTTACACTCAACTAACTCACAATTAATCTATCTCTTCTTCTTCTTCTTCTTCTTCTTCTTGTTTTCACAAAATCATTTTTCTTGAATCCTTTGCTCCAATAAATTGGTATCAAGAGCTTGTTTGCGATTCAGAGAAAATCTAATGGCAAATGAATCAACAACATCAACATAGTTTTCAGCGAATCTACCGGTTTTCAAAGGTGAAAACTATCAACGGTGGGTTACACAAATGAAGGTTATTTTCAGATTTCAAGATGTCGTAGAAATCTTGAATGATGGAATATCAGAACTGAAAGTAGATGCTACGGAAGCCCAGAAAGTTGCGCATAAAGATCAGAGGAAGAAAGATGGCAAGGTGTTGTTCTTGATTCACCAGTGTGTGGATTGTGACGTATTTGAGAAGATAATTGAAGAAGAAATAGCAAAAGGGGCTTGGGAAAAGCTGAAATCTTTGTATGGTGGAGATGAGAAACTGAAGAGGGTAAAGTTGCAGACTCTGAGAAAGTAGTACGAGATTCTTTAAATGAAAGAGGATGAATCTATCTCTGCATATTTCTCAAGAGTCGTGACGCTAACAAACCACATGAAGGCGTGTGGTGAAGCGCTTACGGATCTGCAAAAGATAGAAAAGATATTGAGATCTCTAATTGCATATTTTGATTACTTTGTTGTGACAATTGAAGAGGCTAAGAATCTATCTAAGATGAAGTTGGAAGAACTCCAAGCTTCATTAGAGGCTCACGAAATGAGGCTACAGTAGAGAAACTCAGAAAGAGAGAAGGCAGATGAACAAGCATTGCAATCAAGATTCAACAAAAAAGCTGGAAAAGAGAAGTCGAAGCAACGAAAGAATCTTATTGGTGATGAGAAGTAAAGTAAGAATACTGATTCGAAAGATGGGGGCAACAAGTATTCTGGAAATAAAGTTGACACGAAAGAGGTGCAATGTTGCAATTGTCAAGGTTTTGGCCATTATGCTAGAGACTATCGAAGAAAGAAAGTTATGAAGTCGAAAGATAGTGATGAAGCTCAATATGCACGAGCTAGAAGTAGTGATTCTGATTATGTGTTGTTGTTGATGAACACTCAGTCGACTACTGAGAAAAATAACATGTGGTATCTGGATTCGGGATGTAGCAACCACGTGACTGGCAATAAAACCTAGTTTACCAAGTTAGATGAGTCAGTCGAAAAGGTAATAAAGTTTACAGATGGCAGGCATATCAAATCAGGTGGTAAAGGAGATATTTCGATTATCAGAAAGGATGGTCGAAAGGCTACTATCACTGAAGTTCTATATATACCTTCGATGACAAGTAACTTGATAAGTGTGGGTCAATTACTTGCAAAATGCTTCAATATGAAGTTGGAGAATAATCAGATGAAGGTATATAGGGCTGATGGGAGGCTAATAATGAAAACACCATTGGCGGAGAACAAAATGTTCAAGGTTAAACTCAACACATCAGATCACAAATGCCTTGCTTCAACTACAGAAGAAGACAAGAACTGGCTATGGCATCATATGTATGGACATCTGAACTTCAAGACTTTATGTATGCTCAATCAGAAAAGAATGGTGCTTGGGTTGCCGTATGTGAAGGAACCTAAGCAGATATGTGAGGAATGCTGCAAAGCTAAACAGGAAAGGAAGGCGTTCAAACGTGACTTGCCTATAAGATCAAGGCAAAAAATGGAGTTGATTCATTCAGATGTGTGTGGACCCTTTGAAGTAAAGTCCAATGGAGGTAATAGGTATTTCCTTACTTTCATTGGTGAATTCACCTGACATATGTGGATCTACCTTATTGAAAAGAAAAGTAAGGTATTCACACAGTTCAAGAAGTTAAAGTTGCATGCTGAGAAACAAAGTGGCTGCAAGTTAAAGAAGTTAAGAATTAATGGTGGTGGTGAATATACTTCTGCTGAATTTACTAGATTTTTCTATGAGGAAGGTATAGAGCATGAGGTTATTGCACCCTATACGCCTCAACATAATGGAATAGTTGAGAGAAAGAATAGAAGTGTACTGAACATGACAAGATGTATGTTGAAAGCTAAGAATATACCTAAGAGATTTTGGGCTGAAGCAGCTTCGACAGTAGTATACATTCTAAATAGATGCCCAATGAAGAAGATGGTCGAAAAGACATCGCATGAGGCTTGGATAGGGTTAAACCAAATGTAAGTCATCTTAGAGTTTTTGGATCAATGTGTTTCAGGCATGTACCTGAATAATTGAGAAAGAAGTTGGATGATCAAAGTGAAGTCATGATACTCATGGGTTATCATTCTACTAGTGCATACAAGTTGTATTCACCAATCGAAGATAAACTAGTGATCAGTAGAGATGTTCTTGTAGACGAAAGCAAAGGGTGGGATTAGAGTCGAACTTCAGTTCGACAAGAATCAGACAAAGTCACAACTGTGTGTGAAGAAGATGAATAGAATAAAGCTTCGACAAGTCAAAATGAAGAACCACCTGTGCAGAATGAAAGAAGATCCACAAGAACAAGAATTGAGTCGACTAGGATGACTGGATATGAGAGGTTTCCAGATCAACCAATCGATACAGATGGTTACTTAATCGAAGAAGCCATGATGATTGCTGAAGCATAACAAATTGATTTGGGCGAAGCCTTGAGCAATTCGAATTGGTGTGAAGCCATGAAAGAAGAACTTACAGCCATTGAGAAGAACAAGACTTGGGAGCTTGTCGAAAGAACCAACAAGAAACCAATAGATGTGAAATAGATCTACAAGGTGAAACGAAGGCCAAATGGTGAGATTGAAAAGTATAAGGAAAGACTGGTAGCCAGAGGTTTTCTATAAAAACCTGGTATTGACTTCAGTGAAGTATATGCGCCTGTTGCGAGGATCAAAACAATCAGGATTGTTGTTTTGATAGATGCATGTAGAGGATGGAAAATGCACCAACTTGATGTAAAGTCAGCATTTTTTAATGGTCCATTGGAAGAAGAAGTCTATGTTACTCAACTACCAGGTTTCGACATCAAAGGGCAGGATTCGAAAGTTTACAGATTAAGGAAGGCTCTATATGGCTTGAACCAAGCTCCTAGAGCTTGGAATAAAAGGATAGATAGCTTCCTAATCAAAGCAAGTTTCACAAAGTGTTGAAGAAGTGAAAGAAGGGGGGTTGAATTGAAACTTAAAATCAAAAGCAGTAGACACAATATTTTTATCCTGGTTCATTTGATCTCAAACTACTCCAGTCCACCCGCCAAGGAGATTTCGCCTCTCTCCAACGAGGACTTAATTCACTAATCAAAACTGATTACAATACTACTTTGACAACTGCCAAAGTCTTCTTGAGTACAACCACAACCCGGTTTATCTCAAGGAAAAACTAGCTTAATCAAAAGAAAATGATTTACCATGTACTGTTGTTTTTCGTTACAAAAATTATATCACTACTGTGATATATTACACAATTTGAGAGTATAAGAGAATATGAGTATTTGCAGCGTTTAACATGTATGAGCAGTCGTAGGTGAAAATCGTGAATGATTTGTCCTTTAAGCTTGTTTATATAGCATGGAAATCTTGTCCAAAATAAAGCATAATAATGGACACTCAATGCACTTTCCATACTGAGAAGATTCTTGTTTGAATGAAGCCGTTGCATATGATACTGTCTTAATTAAAAAGTAATGCTTCAGAACAATAGAATCTTGCATGCTGCTTTTACTTCAGAACTTTGATGACTCAGATGTGAGGATCTGTTGGCATATTAGACTTCTGTTCAGATTCATAGTATCTTTTACTTCAACGCAGATTTTGATCATCATTCTTCAGAACATTTTGATTAGCTCAGCTTGAAAGCTTTTGTAGCTTAACTTCTGATGCTGTTTCAGTCAGAACTTCTGTATAAAAAAATAACACAAATTTAGAGTGCATATTTGTTCTTTGTGTTTGTTATCATCAAAACTCTAATTAAGGGTTGTAGAATCAAACTATGTTCTAAAAATCTCCCCCTTTTTGATGATGACAAAAACTAGGATTTTCAATAAAAAATATAGAACAAAAAGCTTAAGAGAGTCTCCCCCTGAGTTGATTACTCAGATAGAGATGAGATACTTCCCTGAAGTTCCTTCTCGTTAGAGCTTTTGATGCATCTCCTTCTGTCCTTATCAGAATATGTTCATGTTCAAGCTTTTAAAAGGAAAAAAACATAGAAGTTAAGATATTCAGAATGTTCGAAACTTTGTCCTGGTATACTGTTATTGAAAATATCTTACGTTCTCCCCCTTTTTGTCAGGTATCAAAAA